TTTTGCCAACTACCTGTTTACCCTAACAATTTTTTTAAACAAAATTTAAATTATAGTAGGTGAATTAGGTGCAGACTCATAAATATAGTAGAAAATGATAGTACCGTAATAAATTAATAACAGAGACAATAAATAAGTAACTTAGAGATAGCTTTATTGGATGTCAAATTAAAATCTTAATGTATAGTTTTTTTTCTTAGAAATAGTAGTTAGTGAATATTCTTTAAATCATCACTATTTCTTTTATTTTTATATCTATATTGGACATATTTTATTCACATAGTACGTTACATACATAATTGCACCCAACCCCATTAACAGTTAAAATATTTCTTTTACAAATAGATGATAAAATACACAAATGTTTTTATAAGTCATATTATTTTGATATTTGAACACAATAAAACTATGTTAAAATTAATGGAAATCTAAATAAAACACAAGAAACAATATTTGAAGAAAAACACATACATATTCATTTAAAACTGAGTTAACAATTAAATAAAAGATAATACTAATTATGACTAGTTCAAGAATAAAAAAATAAATACTTCTTAGGTATTTAGATACCTATTCAGATACGTAGATTATGTAACGGTTAATGACTATCGCAGTTTAAAAAATGAAATATATTAATACATATCTAATAGTTTACAAATTATATTGCACAGCCAATAAGAACAAAATATATCTATATTTATAAATATACATATATAAATAAATATATATATATATATATATATAAAACAAACTCACGAAAAACAAATAGGTAAAATAAGAAACAAAGAATTAAATATATAAAACAATCAAGAATTATCAACATTTAAGTAGTGTAAATTTACTTTTAAGGCATAACACAGTGAATGGAAATGTGTCTTTTAAATTAAATAATTAATATAACTTGTCATTTTGCTAATTAAAAATTGTGCATGGAAGAGTATTATAAATAGTATTAACTCTAAGGCCTAAAATGATGGTGTTTGATAGTCGCCCAATTGAGTTGTTTTGCTTATATTATCATATTCTGTACGTATTTTGGAACATATTTCATTACTGAATTTAGGTATATCATTTGCCAATAAACCATCAGTTTCTATAATTGGCATCACAGATATTATTACACGACCTGAAATAATTAAAGATCACAATGAGATGTTAATAACATTATATTATTTGTAATAAACTAATAATGCTAAGGCTATATGAACACCTGGCTCAAACATATGTTTTTCTTTGTTTATGAAATAATTGTTGGAAAATACAATAGGTTGAATAGGCAAMTTTTTTTTAAAAGCCATTTTAATAGTTTCTTCATTTGTCATTGTACTGGATGCCAATAAAATTGTAGGCTATGAACAGTTAGAATAAAAAAATATATATAATATATACATTATTTTGTTTAATACAATTTAAATATTTTTTTTATTATATTTACCTCAGAATCAATTAATGCTGTAGAAAAATGCAATAACCTCAAATTGGTATAAAAAAATTGAATGGGACACAAGGCCAAAGAGATTAGCCATGGAAAAAATGAAAACGGCCATAAGGTGATGAAATTTGTCTCAGAAATTATATT